AATTAAAAACATGCGTGAAAACGTTCTGAATTCCCAAGCAAAAACGTGTTTTTGTGTATGTTGTTATCATAAAAATAATGGACCAAGTCAATTCCAAAACTAGATTTGAAAACAACGTAAAAAACTAATTAAATAATCCGATTTCGTTGGGTGACCGATTCTTGTTTTTCGGTTGGTGTCAAACAATATAACGTAAGTATATACTACAGATAATATATCTAAAGATGTTAATTTCGTCCTTCTCCTGTCCTTGGCCATACGCATTTTTACTATAAAGCTCCGAAACAGAAAACGTTAAGGATGACGTGATGAAATTCGTGATTTTTTTCCAGTAGGTACATTTAAATTTAATCGAATATATCTATATAATATATTATATCTGTATAATGTAATGTAAATATGTAATATGTAATGAACCAATGAATTTCGTGTCATTCAAATCAGCATCATCGCTTTTAAAGTGGAGTGTGTGAAAATCATGTATGCCTATCTAATTTTTACAGTTATTAAAAACTAATTTATTTCGGATCAATCATTTAATTATTACGTTGAAAAAAAAAATCATCTTGTATAAAGTTTAAATTTCATTGATAAGTTGGTGGTTATATAGTCCGTTTTTATTTAACGTATACAACATACGACCGTAAGTAAAGCACATAATTATAGAAAATCCAAGGCGAATAGAATAAACAAATAAAACCCATTATGTGTAATCTCATGAATTTTACTAAAATGTTACAATAATTAACACGCTTAAACGCGGTAATGGCACTTGCATAGATAAGGTGGTGTGGGAGGGAGGGTAGTCGAAAACTCCACCGTCGGACCGTACAAGTGAAATTAATTCTATTTGCCTCCACGATATTCACATCGACGACCACACGAGTTACATAACATTCTTAATACGGGTTGTTTAACAGGGGGAGAAAATTATCAGGATAACCCGTGTTTAGAGCTGTAGAAAAAGGCAGTGGTCCAAAAAAGTAGCCCGTGTCCACCATAAAACACATTTAAGTTCTTCCCTTGTTACTGATTGAAAATTCGACACTGGTGGGGTAATACTTTTAACGGTATGTTACCGAAAAGTCTCGGCATAAAGTTTTTAAGAAAACGACAACGAATATTTCGTACATTAGCGCAGTGGACCAGGATACATAATTAATATCTAAACTTTAACCGTCTGCAACATATACGTACTCTTGTACCAATGGCGGACCAAGAGGAGGGAAATTGGGGGTAAGCCGTCCAAGACACTCCTGCTATACGCCTGTGATCAGTTATATATTATATGATTTCTTCTACAAAGTGCCCTGACCGTAAATAGATGCTGGATCCACCCTTGGCGTGAAGACCAAACTAATTTTATACATTTTATTTACGTATCACTTATTATAATTTCCTTTTTGAAGCGACTCGGGTAGTGTAAAAGCATTATTCTCGTTTCTTGGTCAAAATCACCCAGTTTTCGGATTCGGACGAGAACCACAAGACACGTGATTTGAACGGAATAAGCTTGGTGTTCGAATACTGTACAAGCTTTTCGAGTATGTGTTAAAGGACGGCAACAACGAGGCATTTACATGTTAAATATTTTACCATCGCAGTATTTATTAACAACACATTTATGTTCACTAAACTTCACTATCCTTTGGTGGGATGTTACTATGCACACGTATACCGTAGATGCTCGACGTGCGCAATATTAGTGCGGCGCGCGAACAATCACGAGACGCAGTAGAAAGGTTTCGGAGGATCGGAGATTTTCAAGACGAATAAACCTTTTCCTTTTCGAATACATATCATTATATACGTTGATATATAGCTTTCACCGACGTGCGCCGTTCCTGCGTGTACGTTATACGAGTACGTATCCGCACGACAACGAGTACTTTTATGTATCGCCACGCAGCAGCGCACGTAAATTTTTTTTTCGCTTGGGCTTCAAATGCGCAGTGGGTCAAAAACGTATCATGATAAAAAAAAAATAAAACAATCGTCACGGGCACGTAATAACACTATATATATACATATGTATATAAATGTGTATGCAGATATGGAGACAGAGTTGATCGGGGGGGGGAAAAAAAATAACACCGTAGCGGCGGCGGCGTAATTTTTTTCACGATTAAAACAACAGCTGCCGTTACCGCCGCCACCGCCATACTGTATATGTATATAAGGTTTGAGCTGCGACGGCGGCAGCAGCAAAGTCGTCACCGGAAACGCGGGGTCGTTCACCCGGTCCGAGCCGCCTTCCTGTGTTCTACAAACGCACACGCACACACATCCCATCCATATTCCTTTTTCTTCGGCCCAACCGGATACGCACAATGTGTGTGTGTGTGTGTGTGTGCCTTATTATTAGCAGAGTTACGCGCGCGCCAGCCGACCGCCCTCTTCTCCGCCACATCACCCTAAGACCCTCTCCCCTCACCCCAGAATAAGAACAGTACGCGTGTATACGTATTCGGTCGTCTTACATGACATGTATATGTGTGTGTGTGTGTGTGTGTGTTTTACGACGAAGAGACGACAACGCGATGTTCAGTAGAACCCACTCAAAACGAGAGGGAAATATACATTTCTAAGATAAATATACGAAAAACTCTCGCGTCCCGAGCACTAGTAGACAACACTATACAAATGGATAAAAACCCTTCTTGTAGTATAATTGATACTGCACGGAACGAACGGAACGCTAGATACTACACAGTGGTTACACTGCACTACAGTTAGGTATAAAAGTTGGGACAGTACCGTTTTGGGATGATAGGTAATTAATAGATGAATGACTACACAATAAATAATTAATTTCAATAATTACGTAAAATATTATCAATAATTTAATATATTATACAAAAATATCGTCGCACTTTTAAATCACAAATAAAGAAGTAGGTCCCAAATCACGTATAAATATTGTAATGGTTTGTTTTAACGATAACCATATTTTATAGACCACTGTTACTTTACTGCTATATCTTCGAGCACACAATATTTATAATGGATAATTTTCTTACTATTCTTACGAGAACCACCAGTGGTGGTTGGTTTTTATTTTCTGCTGCGTTCTGGAGAAATTATTGTCCTAGGACCACGCCATCGGCAGCAGAGTAAATAATATCATACACTTATAGATTGCGTCCGTGCAATGGAAAAATCGCGCTTATTCGTAGAAAGGAATCGTATAACTTTTGCAATCGTGAACATGCGTATTTAAAAAATATACCATAACATTTTGTATCAGCGTTCCAAGTCGTGTTTCTATAACACCGGAAACGAAAACAATATCACGATCATTAAACATAATAGTTTCAATCAATAGAATGATTGTAGTGTTTATAAATATTGATAACATGATGTATAATTATGAATTGATCTAATATAACATCTATATCAATATGTAATTGCACGTTATAGCATTGATTATGGAATTTAAACTAGTCTATAATCAATGGTTATGGTAAACATTATAATTCTTATAGTATATATTACATTCTATAAATTGCAACAGTCTTCGTGATGCGTGGCATTATAATAATTCTACCATATATCCGTATCAATCAATTAATGAAGGAATACACTAATTAAATGTTATATTCAATAATGTGTGTGTGTGTGTCTAACATCGTAGATTTAATAGAATAGAAATAGCAGACATTTAGGTAGAGGATAGATGAAATTCGGTATAAATGTAAGTCTTCGCAATAAACATAACTATTTTATTCGATACTTATTCGATTAATATTTCTATTGGGGGGGGGGGGGGGGTTTTTTTTTTTTTTTAAACACAATTAAAAATCCGTTTTTAAATACGACTAAAGAATATTTAATTAATAGGGAAAATATTTTATACTGTTAAACTATTGCATGCAGTTGTAATAATAAATAAAATAATCAATCTTAATAATTTTTTACTTTTATGGGCTTTTCGTGGACAAGTTCTGGATTAAACTAAAGATTTATTAAAGTCGCGATCGGTGTATTATTTCTTATTAATAATAAACATCAACACGAGATCCGGTTTTGTGGCCGAGGCCTATCGCCCGCGCACCTTCTATTAACGCGAGGCGTTACTCAAGAGGCGCGGTCGAACGAACCCCAAGGTGTGACCAAGGAGCCCGGGTCGTCATAAGGACCACCAGCACCGAGCTTTCGCCCGTACCCTTTCAACCGCGGACACGAGAACCGTGTTGGGACCCGCGGTTTCCACTGGGTGTTGTGGTTTTGTTACTATCTTGCGCTGTGCCACTGCCACCACGTTTCAGCCGAGTTAGGCTCCTCAACCTTGGGGGCACCGGGTCCGGAGCGGCCAGGCCGGTCCGGCGTGCGGTGGGGCTCCCCCTCCCGTGGTACCGACTGGGTTTTTAGTTGACGTCGGTGGGTCAACCCGGGGTTTTTGGCCCCTACCACTATTCTAGCTTCCCAAGCCGGCTAGTGGTGGGCCTGAATAAACATCAACAATGTGATTAATTTTGATCACAAGTACCGTTTTATAAACGCGAGTACTATTCAAGAGGGGTTGCTCTCTCATAATATATAGATCCACATCACTAAGGGGTGTTACTCGTGCGGTTACATTAGTTTATAAATACTTTCATATTCATAACAGAAATAGGCGAAACGCCCATCTTATCGTCTGACTCACGACAGCGTCCACGTGTTTATCAAGGATGTTTAATCGCCTGTGGACCGTTTATCGTTTCTCATAGTTCACGTTGCAACGTTTAAGCAGTGAGTATAATATGAATAAATATTAGATATAATAATCGTATAAATGCATGTAGAACACACATAATATAATAATTATTATATACTCGCCTAATAAAACGTGTGCGTGAGTGAATAAATAAATGAATAAATAAATAAATAAATAAATAAATAAATAAAAATAGATTATATTTAACACATGCATCTCTGAACACAAATAAAAACCAAAATAATGTATATATTGTATTAGATTAAATACACACAAACAGTGTGATATTAAAAAAAAAAAAAAAAAAAAAAAAAAAAAAAGAATTATACATACTGATACTTAAACGAATAAGAATATATGAATATATGGGTCAGTGTAGGAAAAAATGACGGTTAATACCTAATGAAGTCAACCAAGTCCCACATCCAATGACATCATCAACACGAATCCTATGATGCAACACCAACTGGCCAGCTTCCCGTTACCACTGTAATACAATTAAACGCGGCAATTCGATTAAACGGCGACGTATATAATATAATAAGCGTCCGAATGTATAATTTTAAACAGAGGAAATGTGGACGCGCACCACACATTTCCAAATACTATCATGTGTTTTCCGTGCAGACTTTTGACCCCATGCAGTAGTAGAAGCAGTAGGTTTTCGTGAGCCGCGTTTGAAAAATAATCGCTTAAATATATGCACGAATCACATATTATCTGGCAACTCTGCAGTATACGGTCACGTAGGAATTTGGCATACGCCTTAAGATACTGGCGCATCTTATGTGACCGTATAGTGAAATTGAGATGAAAAAAAATTTTTTTAATTTTTTCTCTATCGTTATTATTATTATTATTATTGTTATTGTTATCATTATTACACTTATCGAACCTAGTTTTCTGTTTTTAGTTTCTAGGCTATAGAACGTATATTTATACGTATGCGTATGTGTGAGCGTGTGTGTATGTAAAATAAATAAAAAATATTGATAATTTTATATTACAAAATACCACGTGTATTATAAAAAGTATATACCGACGACAAATACATGAGCGTGCGAGTGCGCGTGAGTACGTCAGTGTGCGTGTGTGCCGTGCGTGAATTATGACGGGACTTAATGAGCAGCCGTACGTACACCAGATCTGACGACAAAAACGTCATGGGTATCGTGTACCCGCGCGTCTACGGGTACACGGTATTAAAATATTTTAAGAGGAGAAGAAAAAACGGTGAAAAATAAGACGCGGTCGGCTGCGGTGTCGACGACAGAGCCTACGCGCGCGTGCGCTCGCTCCGTTTCGTATACAAGGCCGCCGGATGAAGTATCGATAATCTACCGGTGGCGGCGGCGGCGGCGGCGGCAGCCCATTCATGACGAACGTCCGCGCGCGCGATACGCCGTAGTAGGCAATAGAGGTCGCGACGATAGTGGACGTCATACCGAACTCGCCGCCACGCACTCACTCTCTCGCTCTCCAGCTACAAACACAGTGTAATTACATGTGCGTAGTCTCCGCTTACCTACACGTACGTTTATGTGTGTACTTTGTGAGTGCGTGTGTGTGTGTGTGTGTGTGTAAGTTACACTACATTCCTCGCGTTAAAAGAGATTGCATACCGCAGAGATTTTACAGTTACATGACCCCCAGAGTGAGAAACCATTGATATTATAAACGCATATATACTGCGAGAGCGCACGCACGCACGCACACACAAATACATACACACGCATATTATCATACACTATCATATTCACACGGCGTCAGGGTCATGTTATATACGCCCGTGCAAGCAGGGCCGTGTTAAGAGGAGGTCAAAGAGGGCAATTGTCTCCTGGGCGCTATAGTTTTATAAAAGTAAAGGGGCACCCTTATCTGCACTTAATATGCTACCTGTGCCCGGTGGCTCCGAAGAAAAAATTTTGCCCCGGGGCGCTGAAATGTTTGACACAGCTCTGCGTGCAAGTACGCGTGTATAGGGCACATGTATATAATAATAATATTACGAGTACAGGTGTACGTCATGCATACCGGCGTATAGCGGGGTGGCAATAACGACTTCGTGTAGCGAGACGCTATAGCGATAACAATGTTTGTGTCGACTGTTCGTGAGTGAGCGCGCGGGAGTGTCGCCCGCGAGCGAAAAGCGCACCGGTGGTGCGGTACTTGTACGATGGGCGGGCGCGAACGACGAGCGTGGTACATATTATTACTACAGTGTTCTCGTTTACCTGGAATTCGACTCCGGTATGATGTCATTGACGACCACGTAGATCATCGCGCCTGCCGCGAACGCCAAGGCGTAAGGCAGCAACGGTTTGACGAAGGACACGGCGAATATGCCCACAAGTCCTGCGATCGGCTCCACCATGCCGCTTAGTTGTCCGTACCTAAAAACCGGAAACGTATATTCATGTGTCAGACAAAATAATAATATCGATATAATGTACAATGATGTGTAGCGCTCGAATCGAGAGGGAACGCAGGCGAACAGCGGCAAAGTAAATAAACTTACATTTTCAAAAATTGTAACATTCCATTATAAATATTAGCTCATACGCGCATACAGAACATGTCAGTATTTTTGAAAATATCTAGCTGAATACTAAAAAAATCTCTACAGTAACTCTTAATATATCTTTAACGGCAATTGTTGTATGCACAAATTTAATATTGTTCGTAAAAGAATTGCCAAAATTTGAAATAATTTTAACTTTGAACCGTATCCTTTTATTCTTAATAATGTAAAATTAAATTGTATTCAAGATCTAATAATCGGTCAAAATGATATAAATTCTGAAATTTACATATTTAAAACAATAAACTACGGATTAAGATGACTTCATAGGAGAGATGTTATGGCATATCTATTATCTCCGGTGCGCATGCCTATAAGAAAGTCCTACTTTTTTTGAAATCAATAAAAATGTTAGGTACGTTCTTTATTTTATAAGGAAAAAATGACCCCTATTTTGAATTTATCAAATCAAGCATTAACACGATTTTGATAGGTTTTCTTGCTAACATTTTATAACAGAAAAATATATTCAAGTTTATTCAAGTTTCTTTCAATATATTTTCGATTCATTTATGACAACATCCCCCGAATGAAAATCATGTTTCAGTCGATAGAACTTTTTCAAAATTCCACGGTTTTATGAATGTATTCCGCAGCTGAACACCAGATCGTACGATATTAGGTATTATTAGTGCTACATATAGTAAAAACAGTGTTTTAGAAGTACGTTTCATAAAACAAAATAAAAATAAAATAATAATAATTATATGACATAGCACACAAACACGAATAAGACTATTTGCAGCATGATAAGAGTGAGAAATGTTTTGAAAATATCGAATCGTGAATCTATTTCTCGTTGTAACTACATAATTTTACTATTTCAGGTTAATAAAGTCGAAACTGAGACAAAGTCCGTTTTAAGTAAAATAGGACGGGTTAATATTATTCATATAATCACGTACATATACATATACATATATATATATATATATAAAGGAATCTAACCGATGAATTTTAAGATGTACAATTCAGGTCATTCACAATAATAAATGACATATTGCATTATACCAATGAACTTCCTAAACTGTTAGCTAATAAATACTGATATTATTGTTCAGGTTCAATATAATAATATAATAATAATAATTCATAAATAATCATAATAAAGTTTTAGCGTGTATTATGGAGCTGTTTTACCATTTATCGTAGTATTTATTTTTGTAATTTTTTTTTAAATGATATTTACTATTAAAAATATCATGAAAAAAATTATAATATTACAGCAGATATGAAACACACGTTACAACGTAGTATAATATATTATGTTGATATTGTAAAAAAAAATGGAAAATGTTAATTTGTATTGGTCATTAATGATATCATTTGGAAAAGAAAAAAATACGATAAGATAATGAATCATCATTCATATATTCGAATATAGAATTACATAATAATATTAATAGTTTTGTTTCTTTTCTATTTACATAAAAAATGAATTAAACTTAAAATCAATTTTACTGTACATATAGACGGACATTGTATAATGAAATTAAATAACTGTACAGTGATATTATTAATTACTTTTTATCACGAATGTGTTAATTATCATTATATATATAAGTATATATAAATTACGTGAGTGTGTTTAATTCGTACGAGCTGATGAAAAATTCAGAAAAAAATAACTCATTAATGATATTTTTAATTAGTATATACTCGTATTAAGATGTAATACAGTTTTGCAAACTACTACGCATTGAAATTTATTCGATTCTAAGCGTAAAAGTCAATAGAAATTAAACCAGCACAAAGGTTAGTGTTCCCGAAAAAAAAAAGGAGTAGGCGGTCTTTTATACGCATTAACACGTTTAGCACCCGCAGATATAACATAATAACTATATATCATAGTCATTATTCCAAAGTGGAATCGCATTTATTTTTGTTTTTTATGATCAGTCGAATCAAATGTGTACTGTAAAGCTAAAATGGGGTCCGGGTTCAAACCTCCCCCCCCAGGACCAAAAAAAAAAAGAAAAAAAATTGTTTTATTATTGATGACGTGTAATATATTCGTAGTTTCATCATTACGCTTTGAACTTAAAAAATACAACTATACAAATATTATGATAATTAAATAATTATATTGATAGGTGTTTGAAAAGTTTTGTTAACTATGCTGTTTTTATATTCCAATAGCTATTAATTTACTGTAATGTAAAAGTAAACTGTAAATTGGTAAAAAAGTTGTATAAAATAATATCTAATAATAATAACCCCTCCCAGAGCAAGATCGAATGTACGCCACTGGATATAGTGTACATATTATAAGCGGATTAAAAGAGAAAACATTATCGTTCGGCTTTTCCTTCTTCGCGTGATAATAATCACGACGGTAACCGTAATTGATTTGTGGCATCATCGTGGAATTTGCAGTAGCAGCGGCTCAACGGAAATCCGGATTTCCATAAACGCGACTTGTAGAATGTCCATTTTCCCAGTAAAACACAAACCGTATAGTACCTCATAATTAGTACGGGCGTTTCCGTACATACATATTATAACGGTTATATTATTATACGAGGAATAATAATAGCGTAATGTATTTGTCTATATACATATACATTGACGCGTATATCATATTTTATAGTATTCTTAATGGTCCACGAAACTCGACTACCACGACCATTTCTTTTTTGGGCTACTGTGGAAGATTTGCGTGGGTGAGCATGACAAACATATAACAATATACTATACACGCTACGTATATATATAGGAACGAGTGTGTAAATTATCGTGCGTCCTGTATAAAGTATTTTTCCGGAAATCCAAAAAATTTTTGTCCTAGGAAAAATGTAATCGATGAGGCAGTGAAAAAAAAATAAATAACGATATTAGTAAACCGATTGCGTGCTCGCAAAGAACTGCAGTGTAATTACCAAAAGCTTTTCCACTTGGAACATCCAGCCGCTTGAAGAGGTAAGCTGACGGCTAGTCCTTCCGGAAAGTTTTGAATGCCGATTCCCATGGCCAAATTCCTGTAACAATAAAAACCGAGCCATTACAATAACACGTGGAATAAAAACACGAATTAAAGTAATTTAGTCTGTTACATCAGCAGGATAAAAAGTAAAAGAGCAGTATGATACAACAGCTAATATCGGTTAGAACGAGATTTGAGGTACTTTACCATTCTTTAATGTGGTAATTACTATCGATAATACAACGCCGAGATCTAAATGATCTTGTTGAAATAATGAACACGAATACTAAAAATGATATAATTTCGTTTATTAATGTATCATTTTCATACAAGTCTGTAAACAGCCTACGACGCTCCCATAAGATGTAAGGCGCTTGTGTGTATATTTGCGTGTGTGTACAAATATTCAAGTCGGTGAGTGTGCGTGTAAATAGCGGAATGGAACCGAAACGTGTACAGCTATTCGGAGAATGCGCGGAATGCAATGGATAAAAATCTCGTCCCGGTTCAACGTGCCCACCGTCGACGACGACGACCGTCTCCAGACGCAAACGCGCATTTATATTATATTATACATCGTCCGTATGTATGTATACATCGTAGGCATACAATAAATACGCGTGTATTTCTACCGGCGTGTATTTTCTTTTCTTTTCCTTTTCTTTTTTTTTTTAACGGCTATTTCGTGTGACCGGGGGGGGGGGGGGGGGGATGAAACCCCTCAGGCATATAACGAAGAAAGACATACAAAAAGAGCGCGCACATACAAACACAAACGCATATGAATGAATCGGGAATATTCATTGAAACCCACTGCCGCCAACCGTTACCGCCGCCGTTAATAATGCTTATATGTACCGTGTTTTTTTTTTTTTTTTTTAAAAAAAATAACAGCCGAAGATGTCGGAGGAAGGCAATGCTGTGACGAAAATATTATATTTGTGTACACGCGGCGGTTCATCATAATTTCTAAAATATTATATCATGTACATACGACGTTTATCACAAGCTGTTAGGAAGAAAGCGTTTATTGCATTACGCACACGCCACGGTCGTCTGAGCACGGACGCGAATAATTTAGGAAAAACGAAATCGGCCTGGTTTACGGCGGTTCGTGATCGATATATACATACTTGTATATTTAAAGTAATTTTGATAGAAAATCCGCCTCGGGTGGGTGAAATTAAATGCACATTTTTTCTCATTTGGTCTCACCGGGTCCCCACACGTGTAGACAACGGTCTTATTCGCCGTACGTTGTTTCCCGCGATCCGACATTTTTCAACGTGGTTTTCAACCCCTCGCCCAAGCTATATATTAATATAATACATAGGTACACACAGAGCCATTTGAAACAAATATCACCCCAATTCTAACCCCAGCCAACAAATTTATTTTATTTTGGTTCAATGCAAATATGACACATTGTCACCCTTAAAGTTTCGCCGCCCTAGACCTTAGATACACGTGGACATCAACTATTGTATACATGCTCGACAATAGTTGCAATGGTTTGCTGTATCGATTTCGAAATATTATATTATGTATCGATAAAATAGTCTCACGGTGCAGCTGGTTTTTACCGCAACAACCGAAGTACAACCGTGACGCTCAACTGCGACCAGTCTAGTTTATCACTGTACATGTATACATGCGCGTGTCTGGGCAAGTGGTCAGCTCCAAGAGGTTACTTTGTTCGATCTACACTATCTCGCTTGCTATCATGGGGCTCGTTAAAAATGTCCAGGCCAACTTAGAAAAATCTTTTTTTTTTTACATATTTTAGTTAAAATAAAAATATAATTAGTACATTTGAAGTACAGATTTGTGACCCTTCACAATTTGTGGCTCTGGCGTGGGCACAGTTTGCTATATTCTTGCTACGCCATTGTTTGCGGTGAGCGAAAAATAGTGTATGTGTGTGTATTATTACGTCTGAGCAATAACATAATGGGTCGAGGACGCAGTGTCGGTAGCATGAAGTGCAGCGACTGAGCAATCGCGTCGACATCATGTGGTAGAGAGTGGTCGCGTGTTGGCGGCGTTGGTGACGGTGATGGTTCGAGTGAATGAACCACGAGCGTGCGTGTGCGTAAAAATGTACGTCGGAATGTCGAGAAAGAAAAATAATGAACGGGGGGAAGGGGGTTAAAGAAAAAAAAATGGAAAAAAAAAGTTTTTTGGTGATAATGACAGTGATAACCCTTCACCTTGAGATACTAAACACATACATTATATTATTTATGTACATGCTCGTACACACTGTTTAATATTACGTATTATAACGTTTGTATAAATGGATCAGTGACCAATGAATATTATTATTATGTTGAAAACGTGAGAGAAAAAAAGGAAATAGAAAAGCTATCCTGTTGTGGTGGTCGCTCAACTATAACTATACATATAAATTTATATATATTACTATACACATTTGCGTGCACATGGAACTAAATAAATTATTATTATTATTTATATTATTTATATTATTTTCGTAGGCTAATCTTTATACTATACACGTCAAACCCGTGCGTACATTGCGCGTACAGATATTATTATATCCTTTTAACGAAATAATACGTATAGTTTTAATTTATAACACCACAAACCGAGTGTCTTTCGATCGTCACGTAGTTTACACACACTCGCAGACGTATGACATACGCGCACGCACCACACGCGTCGAACATCCTCATATCAACAACGCTTTCGGTGAAACATTATAATATCGTCTTTGGTAGAATACTAAATTTACAATTATACAATCACATAATAATATCATCACACACGCACGCTAAGAAAATATGGGGAAGTAAAAGGCTGTTGTGGAACGAGACGTTTGTCGCATTAAAATCCCAAGCTCTGACCTCTGATATTACACACGCATCGAAACAGTGTATCGTGTTAAAAAAACGGTGTTATTTAAAAATTTCTAGAAACGTTTTTTTCCTCCCTTTGGAAATTATTTTATTCGAAAATGTTAACCTTTTATCGTTTCAGTCAAAAAATATTACAGTGTACACCCAATGAGATGTTACGGTCTTCGAAAAGGAATTCAATCTACACAGAGAAGCTGTTCACCAATTTTTACCAATACGGATGTGCAGGTCCGCCCAGCTTTTCTTATAAGTAATATAATTACAATTATTATAAATTATACTATGTTTGACAAGCTAACCAAAAGTTCCGCCAATATATTCAATGGACCCATTGACATGTATGCGCATTGTAATTAAATTAATGTTATTTTTACTAATGATAAATTCAAATTTTAACATCAGATCAAAAATCACACAAAGTTAAGAAATTATATTTCACACAGTTTTAAGACTATTAAGTTGTAAACTTAAAGTTGTTGCATTGAAAATATCAAGCATAACTTTTTAATGAAGTACGATCATTTTACGATTCTAAACATTAAAATCAATTTAGAAAACGAAACAAAAATATATTGAACACAATGTAATTTTTGAAATTATTAAATATTCATATAATAATAATAGAAAAAGGTCTTGGGAGTATGCACGGTTGAAATAATAAAGAAAACGTCAGAAAACAAAATAAATTGTTTCCAGCGAATCTTAATAATTTGTATCGCAAGGTAAAATAATTTCTGTCACGTCCAATACTGGAATAATTTTTACGAAAAAACTTTTTTCAAAGTACTGACTTAATTCGTGACTTAACTTGTAATGAATGAAAATAAGTAAAAGCATTAATAAAATGCTTATGAAATGTCACGTCCGGCACACCACTATATATACCAATAAATATATAACATGACTCGAGACTTTAGATTTGTTTGAAAAATACAATTTTAATTTTCAAAAAAATAAAATTAAAATATCACAATCAGTTTTTATTTAATAAAAACAAAAACCAAATTAAATATTTAACATGCCCCAATTTATACTAAACCATATACCAACCCTATTTAATAGATATTTATTGCATTGCAGTAGGTTTATTCAAATAAGGAAAAAAATTTACCGCAGTTTTACGTATAAAATCTTCAAAACACAATGCTGGATTTAGTTTGTGTAATCATATAAAAGAACTGGCCTTTTTTATGTTTCAATTTTCTGACTACACTATTGAAGTTTTTTTTCAATTTATTTTCACAGTTGTTCCAAATAATTTCCTGACTATCATCACGACACTCGATTTTTTATGCTATTTGTCTATTTTTCTGAGGGGGAGGAGAGGGTATACTATATATTCTATTTAAGTTAATGATTTTTTAGGTGTCATTAAAATAATTGTATGAAATTTTTCACAAATTTGTTCCAAATACTCCTCCGTATTATATGCTATATTTCATAATGTCAGCTAAAGTATATATATATATATATATATACAGTGACATATACAAGAGAGTGATGTGGGAGTCAGATCTACCCTAGGTCTTTTTTTAAATGTTATAAAATAATGTTCTTAGTGTGAAGGAGTTAGAAACGTAAAAAAAATAATGATAAAATAAAAAAATAAATTATTTGTTAGCAAATGATCCCCCCCCCCTCATCATACAAAAGTTATACGCCACTGTATATATATATATATACATAAAAGAATAAATCCTGACACACTGATTCATAATCAATGCATAGTCTAAACTAAGATAACTAACGACTTAAAATGTTCAGGATATGTTTTTATTATAGTCTAGGCGTATAATACGAAAAGATTTTGAATAAGGTTGATTTTAAGGGATTAAAATGGGTAAAAATCAAAATGTAAGTAGCGGATGATTTTTAAGATTAATTGTAAAAGTAAAGAAATAATATTAATTAATTTTCAATTTATATAATCTCGTGTAATGTATAGTATAAGTATCTATCCACGTATAGTATACATGTAGTTTCAATTTTTTTATGATTAGAAATTTTGTAATCAATTGTAGTTTGTTATATTATTATAATAAGTTTTTGCAGGAAAATGTAGAACATTTTGTTTTATTTTTCTATTACGAAACATAATTTATTTCTTCTCAAATATTTTGGAATAAAATTAATTCGAGCAACATCAGCTCTCATACTCTTAGATTTAAATTGTATATTT